AAATAAGTTAATTTGTCATCTATTTCATGTGGGTTTAAGTCACAGTGAAGATACGGCAGACATGTCCTTAAGGATCCAAGCAGATGCACAGGATTCAGGACTCTAGCAAGGCTCGACAGCACATACTAAAATCCATACTGCTGCATACAACTGCTCCTTGAGTTGCTTTATGCTTATGCTTTAATTTTACCACTGAGCATTGTGCAGATGTATTCAATCCTTCTCACATCTTTCCAATATTGTCTTTATTCACTTTTACCATCTAATCCATTCACCAGTTGCATGAATTGATCACTCAGGTGACAGGACCCTTCAGTTTCTAGAAAGAGGAATAAATACAATTGAGCAGACATGACATGTGTATGATTACACACACACACACATGCCTGCAGGGTGTTCCTGCATGTGCATTTGTATGGAAAAATGGTATTCCACATTAACTTCTCACACACAGGTGGGAGGTTCCTGCCCTGCTTCCCTTGGGACAGGGTTATGGTCTGAGAAGCTCTTCCAATATAGGGCAATTGTGGGTCATTTGGATGCTACTTTAGTTGACCATGCTACCATGTTCACAGCTACTTGCAAAAGTCTGTTTTCTAATATGAAGGAAAAAAAAAATCTAAAGGAGAAAATGGAATGGGAGCAGCCATGTCCTACACCAGAAGAATATATTTTCCTTTTTTACTATTCACAGGAAAGGAATAGTTGGGACATTTATCCATACGACTGGATGCCTTGGCCCAGTGATTTCTACCAGTCCAAAGAGAAAATTGTGGCATAAATTACTTTTCTTCTGTTCTAAGGGCACATTTAAAACTCAACCTGGCAAAATTACCTCTGTTGATTCAATGTGTCCTTAACTGATATCCCAAAGACATAAGATAGGAATAATGGTACATTGTGTTTAAGACTGTAAGATAAGTTTCAATAAAACTAGACATAGCTTCTTTATGGTTCTGGACAAATACCTCATCTCTGCTGTCTGTACACTGAGGGTAAATTTGTTGTAACTCATGTCAAAATCCTTACAAGGATAATTCATAAAGTCTCAAGATGCACTGACATATTGCCAGAGGGACTATATTGATAGATAAAAACCACTACACTGTCAACAAATGTCTTACTGGTACCTACAAAAATGGATGAGCTTTTCTTACTCTGCTGGGTGTCCTGCAAAACAGGGCATTCACTCATATCAGTAAATCTCAGTCAGTTATTTTAATTGTAAACTGAATTTTCTAAGTGCAAAATTTGTAGCCTGGAATGTTCATACCTGCATTAAATAAAGAGACGGATTTGCTTTACCAATTGGAATAAGTAGATGTTTTCCTTGTTTAGCAAGTTGTGAACTGCTACATTTATTATTGGAGGGAACCAGACCAGGAAATAGTTATGACACTTTGTGAGCTACAGGTTATTACTTATGAGCAATTCCAGACACGTCCCATGAACCAGTCCTCCATGAGGTCTGAAATTGAAGTAGCTGTTTCATCTTTTGAAATCCAACAAAGTGTTTTGTATTGTTCAAGATAATGGCTAGGAATATGTGCAACAAAAAGATATCATTTTCAACATCGCTAGTGACGTCTTTTTTCTTTCTTTTCTATTTGAAACAAAGCTGTCAGACAAGAAAGCAACCCTCTAATCTGTCAGAAAAGATATCACATTGCATCACAATGTCTAGCAAAAGAGTTGCCAAAATATTTTATAAAAATGAAGTGTCATGTTTAACATGTTCAAACAATCCTTTATTGAAAAATCTCTCATTAGAGCAAACTACTAATGAAAGGTCAGCAAAACCATTCATTGGTTTGAATTAACTAAACCATATAATAAATTCCTCTAATGTACACAGGAAATATTGTCAAAAATTGGTATGCTTTTTGTGTTTGGGTGACTTGTTAAGCAGTTAAATATTATACCTCTAGATGTTGGAAGTTTTATCTTTCACCTGTAAGAGGATTAGGGCCAGCCATACATTCTGTTTGGGAGCAGGTTATGCCCTGGATGGCCTTTTGAAATCCTCTTCAGTGTCATTTCCTACTTCTGTGTTTCTGGAAACAATCTAGACAAAGCTGACCAACCTGACTACTGGTAGGCCTGAATATATAGCAGACCAACTTAACCAAGGTATTCTATCTTTCTGTGCATACATTTAATATTTACTACTTACTGTTTACTATTTACTACTACGAGCTTACCACAGCTAGGCACTCAGAGTTTGACATACTGGATCAAGGCAGTGGTCCTTCAGCACTGCCTTGCTGGGTCTGAGCAGAATCCTCTTGTAGTCTTTAGAGACATGGTCACATACTTAGACTCTCTACCCGATCACTTCTTTGCAAATTATGTTGAAACTTCCTACCCCTAGCACTCCCTGCAAAAACCTGTACCTTTCCTAGACAATACAAATGTTTGAATTGTTCTAGTAGGAAAAAAACAGAGCAAAATAACTTTGCAAAACAGCTTCTTAAATAAACACAACTTTCACTTCCCAGGGAGAGACTAGCCAAAGACTATACTCAACATCTTTTTCATCTAGTGGTCTGTAAATTATTGCATTTTCCTATTACTATTAACTAGGTACCTAAGTGCAAAATATTAAAATCTCTGTCTTCATTGCCGCCACATTTTTAAAGCCCTTCTGGCTTTGATAACTGTTTGAGATCAAAAGATATGCTTCAGCTCAGGCTTCCTTCCGTGTTTGGTTCATCAAAGCTGCCTGCAAAGCTGTTTGAAGATGTTCTTACACATTTTCCTATCCAAACCATTTTTTCTTTGCTTACTTCTACTCCACTTCTTATGTTTACTCTGCTCTATTTGTACTTCTTGTTTTGTGTCAGTGTAAGGCATAGTGAGATACTGTGTAAACTAGATCACTGTTCCTGTTCTGCTTTAGCCTGAATAAAAAGGAGAAATGTGTGCTGTTAGCAGTGCTTGATTTACCTCCACTGCTTGCCTTCCACAACAAGTATTGAATTGTGAGTCTAAGGTAGGAGCTGAAAGACAACATGGCAGACACGACACATTTTCATGACCAAAATGGAGTTTGCGGTTTGGTACAGGTAGGTAAAATGGGATTAATCTCATCAAATTTAGACATCTATTGTGTAGATATCTACATCTGATCTTTTTGTCTACAGTCCCTTTGCTGTTAGTGGAGAAAAACAGGCACTTCATAGATAGAATCCATATCATTTAAAGGCATATATCCAAAGTAGGTCAGGAGATCTGCCTTCTCCAACAACCTTATTGCCTCCACTTGCTGTGACTGGACTTCAGTGACTTACAGGGAGTCAGGTGAGATGAAGCCCTATTATAGTATATACCCAACTGACACATTTGCTTTACTAAGTCACTGCACAAAATCTCAGAAGTGGCCAGTCAACACAGAATCAGCATCATTGAGATGATTCAGTATGGTTCAGAAACAGAGTTTAGCAAATGCCTCCAGGAAACCACTCTTGTTGCTCCTGTCTCCCCTGAGAGCTGTAGTGCTTGTGCTTGGCTCAGCTAGAGGCTTGACATCCCCACACCTATGAAGCTGCAGACCTGGGAGTCTCTGTGCCTGTTTGTCGGGAAAGGGAAACTCAGTCCTCTACAAGATCACCACCGTCTCTCTACCACAAATTCTTGGACCCTATAGGAAAACATAAGCTTGTGGACCTAGTCCCATTACCCAAGTCTTTCCACAAAACTGCTCTGTATTTCACTTCACAGTCCTTATCTAATGTTTGCTTTAGACAAGTGTTTCTACTGCATATCCATTGATTATAGGAAGGCCAGATGAAGCTGTGACATGGATGAAGAGATAATGCTGTGGTCAATCAAAAGAATTTATGCAGAGAGCAGTGCTGACACCATCTCCAATATCCTGCCAGGAAATATATCCCTGGGTTATAGTATGCCAAAGCTGTCTTGTCCATGGAGAGTAAAAATAACTTGTTTGCTTACAGTAAATATTTGTAGGCATATGGGTTGGGCCATGGCTTATTTTACATATGGGAAAAATAAACCACAGTGCAATCATTGTGGGAATGGCCAAATCTGAACTGTTATCAGGAATGTCATACAACAATCTGTACTCATCATGTCCCAGATCTCCTCAAATTCTCCAGCTGAAATTTGCTTTTTGATAGTGCTGTTTGTTCTCTTTTCATTTCAGATACAGTCACTAACACATAAAATTGTATTTGCAAGAGTGAGAAGACACATCTGTGTCCTTCCTGCATGTTGTGACCTGTGTATAATATTGTTCTTTTTCTTTATCTCTGACATATCTATAATCCAAATCTCGATGGCTTGTCTACTACTTTTTAAACAATAGCCTGTTGTTCCTCAAAAGAAATTTGTAATGCATTATCAGTTTCAGCGGTGGACAGAGGAAGAAGAAATGCATGAAAATATCGTCTAGCAGTCATGTTATGAGCAGAACAAACCCACTGTGATAGAGACTAAATGGTCCACAGCTTCACAGCAGTGTAGTTGGATAGCTACAGACTGACCCTCTGGTAATAACCCCTCATGTTTGCTCTGTAGAGCTGGTGCCCTTCCAAAAACTTTTCACAGAGACATTTTTTGGAGGTTCTGAAGGGGAAAGACTATCTGAAGCTTGTTGGACACTATTGGCTTCATGGGCATGGGGACGTTGTGGCAGCAGATAATTTAGTGTATGAGGGGAAACTTTTACATTAAGCACTAAAAGAAAAAAAAAGAAAAAAAAGAAAAAAGAAAAAAAGAAAAAAAAGAAAAAGGCTTGAAAGGGACAGGTCTTTCTTCCTCAGGGCAAGATATTATCCTTGCAAGCTGTTCACCAGATAGAGTAAGCCAGTCACCTCATACATGGTCATTAAGAATATCTAGATGCTTCATGCTCTGCTGGGACACTGTAATGAGCTTTGTCTGTCAAGTCTTCTCACCACACCTGCTAGCAAAGGCAGTCTGCTGTGTGGGGGCCCCTGTCCGCGTGCCGGAGGAAGTGTTCAGTGTGCTGTTGCCAGCTCTGCAGGGTGTACCCTACCCAACTGTGCTCTGCCCACCTGCCAGCCTCCGCCCTGCTTCTCCCCCCTCTCAGCAGAGGTACCTGGCACCCGCCAGAAGTGCTCGCAGCCCTGCATCCCACACAGACTGTTACAAACCCCCACACTAACAGGTTAGTGGCTGCTGATCAAGGTCTCCCCTCTTTCCTCCCTTGTCTAGTAGCTTCACTTTATATATATTTGATTCTCCTTCTACAGAACTTTTTACAGTTTGTCTTCTTTACAGCCTGTGAGTTGCTAGAGTTGCCTTTTTTTTTTCCCCAACTATTTGAATTTGTTACACTTATAAAAGTGCTGTTGGTGTTTAGTATGTTTTTTTTTTCTTTCTTTTCTTTCACTTTATCTTATCTACCCCCATCTCCTAAATTACAAGTTGTTTTTTTTTTTGTCTTTACTCTTTTCTTTCAGATTTTACATACCAACACCTCTTTAATTATTGTTTTACATTTGCCACTCATAGTGCTGTTTTTTTTTTTTGTTGTTGTTGTTTTGTTTTGTTTTTCTATTAGTTTCTCTTTCATCTTCTTTGAATTTTTCAGTGAACTGTGGCTTCAAACTGTGTAATAATCACTGAGTTCCTTGGCTGATATCATTTGAAGAGGCAAAAATAATTTGAAAAATCAGGTTTTCATTTCAAGAGCTCCTGATTTTGCTGGTGAGTGCGGGGGCTGGGGTAGGGGGATCAAAGTAATGAAAATCTATAAACAAATGAAAGAAATGTTACTGTGTAGGATTCACAAGTGAACAAGACTAACATTTCACACTGGGCCTGAGATGTCTGAGTGAAGACTGATCTCCTTTACATCCCAATCAGACTCACTACTGTGCTTGTCTAATAAACCAGCTTTCTTCCCAAGTAATCTCTCTCACACCATCATCTGTCATTTTTTTTTTTCAGGCTTTCAGGTAGGACATGTGGCAGCCTTTCAGGGTTCTTAGTCTTAACAAAAAACAATTTTCAAATGTAGATTTTTATGTGAGTAGAAACCACGGAAGGTTGCACCCTGCACTAATTTCTTGCTCTTTTGCATCACAAGTAAGCAATAACTTAGACCTATGCAAAATAGTTGTCAAAAAAGCCATCTAAAAATGACAGCATTTTACATTTAATTTCTCTGGGTTGAAACACTGATCCAAGGTGATAGGAAAGGGTATAGTAAATTGGGTTCTAATGTTTCAGGCCCTGTCCCGCGTAACTCTTCAGGGGTGACTTCACAGCCCTGCCTTCTCCATTGAAGTCTCACTTCTCCATCTTTACACACCCGCAAAGTTAAAGAGCTCCATCCTCTTCCTTGGTGGGAGGGAGAGAGTGCGTTGCAGGTCTCTGATAGTGATCACACCAGGAAATTTATGAACAGAAGCTTACAGCAGTTGCAAAACCTTAATTCTCACTGTAGCAAGCCATGGATTTTGGCTCTGGAGAGCTGTAATTCCATCCCCTAGGGATGAGCAAAGTATCATCCATACACAAAATGAGTGAGGAGACAGTTTGATAAACCCACTCATTTTACTTACTACTGGTGCTGTCTAACCACAGGCCGAGCATGTACCTCCGTTGCGTTAAAAGGTAAGGAAGTTTGTCAGGACCTAAACACCCTTTTGTTACAGCTTGTCCTCAGATAGAGGACCTGGGGGCAGATGGGCTTACATTCTGAGTTATGTCCAATTTGGCAATATGTGTGGACACATTCAGTATATTATATTGAATTATCACAATTTGCATTAATTGTTGCATTAATTACAACCACAGATTCACAAATAGCTCAATACACTTTTCAGTCTAGTAGATCACTGGTATAGTTTATCGAGGCAACAGGAGCACAAGTTCTTTTGCATTGCCAGTGATAAATACACTGTCTGCAAAGCACATACAAATACCAAGAATATGACAAAAACAATGATCTACATATGTGCTAACTTATGAAATAACTCTATAGAGAATGTTAGATTTTCTGGGGAAGTACTCAGTATAACCAAGAGTTGAAATCTCATCCATAAGGTGTCCCTAGCTGAGAGGGGAAGAGAGATTAAACCTGTCAACTGATCCCAATAGTTAGTGATATCCTTCCAACTTTTCTGTGATGGTGTCTTCCTCTACATTTTCCCTCTCTTGAGCCACTTTTATACAATTTTCTTACTTTTAGGTGTAGCTGGAGTGACTCTAGTCATACGTGTCTTCATTGTCATTGGTGTAAACTTTTCTTACTTTTCTTTAAAGGTATAGGCTCAGAGAAATTCATAGCACATGCTCAGTGAGGAGTGGTTGCACCTTAAAATTGGGTAGCTTTCGGGATGGAGGTGTGTTTTGGCATTATAATGAGATTATAATGAGCAAAGCTCACCCAGAGGACATGATTTGTTTATCAGTTAGACTCAGGGCTGACCATGTAATCTGTCAGTTCCATAATACGATCAGGTTCTCCATCCCTGTGGTGATAGCACAAAGCCTGGATGGATGCCTTCACTCTGCTCCACCCTCAGTGCTGAATCTCTTAGAGTCAGCACATCAAGCTTCCTTGGTGTTACCAGTACCTAAAGTTGCAGACTATGTTGCCAAGGGGATTGTCACAGAACAGATCCCTTGCATATCTGCTTCATCTCACCCTGGAAGTTTCCTCAATTCTGAACCTTCTCTTATCAGATGCAGCATCAGATGTGGACAAATGTTTAACCTCCAGCAAGTATTCCACAACCTCCTAAACAATTACCATACAGGACAGTAGAGCTGGAGAGGGAGAGATGGTGCTCCAGTGCGCCAGATCTGGAGAGACGAATCTGCATCCTACATTTTTATAGCATACTTTTAGACTAGGTCTGGCAAGAGATCTGAAGGGAACCGGCTATAAAGATAGGTTAGAAACTCTTCAGAATTTGAAATTTCTTTTGAGCTTTTTTGATAACCCCCACCAGAAACCTCCCTTTCACAAACCCGAATTAAATATCAGTAATGAAGTATCTCTTTTTAGATGTTACTGGATCAGGCGATGTTAGAGAATATGTCGTCAGTGTCAACTGGGGTATTGGTAATTTATGAAACTCATCTATGTACAAAATATGTGAGAGGAACGCTGCATCTGATAATGCTGACTGTGTTTGTACACCACATATTCTGTAAAATAGAAAGCCTGGTTATTGGGTAGCTTGTTGCCAAGTCGTGTAAGTTTTTATATAACTCCATTTCTCAGATAAGTCTTTATGTTAAGTCTGAAGCATAAAGAAAACTGTGGCATGGAGGTATTGGTCAGCTGAAGGGTTGTCATATTTCAAAATTAAATATGGTTCACCAGACTAAAAGCTTGTTCAGCCTCAACATAGCATGGATTCCCATTGGTGTTAACAAATGCCCTGGATTTGCTGTTTTTCATTAGTTTAACTGCTTATTATGTGCCCTGTAAACTCCATTACTCTACCAAAGGTGTACTTAGTCACGCAAAGAAATATTTAAGGCAATTATATCAAATTTCCTCTCTCCAGAAGAGTAGCTATAGAAATAATTCATAACACTTCATGAATAGCAGTAGGTGAGAAGTTTGTTTAAGTTGAAGGGAAATAAGAGAGGTTTATGCAAATAATATAAACACTCTGAAGAATGTGACATTTTAATTGAAAAATAATTAGAAGCCTTTCCATTATTGGAAAAGAATGAATTATTAAATATTTTCAAATGTTTTGAGAAAGGTGGGTAATGTGGAAAGTTTTAAACTGTCTGCCCTTCAGCTTAAAGAACACAAAATGTGCTCAGAGAGTAAGAAACCAAAGTACTATGATGGTAGAGTTAGTGAAGTTAGATTTAAAATTGGATTGATTTTTATTTAGTGCTTTCAACAAAGTAGTCTTGCTATGGAGGAAGTGAACTCTCTGTAGAAAATTTAAGTTCAAATCCCAGATCTGTTCCAGGCCTCCTGTTTGACCTCACTGTATCATCTTTCCCCTCTTTCCTCTATAGGAAGTGTTTAGTAGTTTTTGGTTTGTGCTTTTTTTTTTTTTTTTTTTTTTTTTTTTTTTTTTTTTCCCGCTACATTGATTTTCAGTTCCTTGTATGTACTGCAACTAGTGAAAGATAATTCTGATCTTTGTCTAGATGTCTAGATATTAAGGGAATACAAATCATGTTATAAACAATAACAAGTAAAACTTGCAGTTTTTGGCTTTGAGGATTTTTTGGTGCTTGTTTCAAAAGCCAAATATTTTTATTTTGTCACTTTTTTTTTTTTTTTATGGATATGAAAGTCATTTTTTTCTGGAAGGAAAAATATTTTTTTGCAAATATCTGGTTTCTCTATGAAAATGAAAAAAAAATAGCCTGGAGGAAATCTAGATTTTTTTTTTTTTTTTTTTTTTAAGGTAGGATGTAGGGATGTAGGTGGGGATGCAAAGTATTGGGTTGGGTCATTTAGTTCAGCTTCTACAGGCTGGTTCTTAGCACTTCGGTGCTGAAACATCTTCAGGTGGGCTTCAGATGGGCTGCTTATGAAAGGACACATTGCTTTCTCTTCAATCTTCCCACGATGTTTGACCGAGATAAAGGCATAACATATGTTGAGGATACATGCCAGTAAGTTAAGAAACTGCAAGGAGAAGGAAGGGTTATGTAGACAGCAGAGAGGCTATAATCAGAAGGGCACTCTTTTAGGAAGGCTGTGTATTTAGGAACAAAGTTTAGAATTAAAGGAGATTTTTCACTGATACTGAGACAAAATATTACCATGCTTAGGAACTTTTCTTACTCTTTTGGAGAAATAGGATTTAATCATGAACAGTGGATTTTGAAAGGAAGAATAAGAGACTTAGTAACAAGTAAACCAATATGCCTTCTTTCTTATGTCCTTGGAATTAAATCTATGGAAAGATTTGTCTATTTGGCAAGCACCATTGATTATGCTTTTGTTTATTTGCTTACCTTTCCCCTAATGCATCAGAAGTGATCCATTTCACAGGGCTGTCTGAATATTTACCTTGCCACATGTCATGCTGTTCCTGAGACGTGGGGTTTGCTGATGTCCTTGACCTCTTTTAATAAGATTTTAAAAATACATTTTGGATGACATATATTTAAAGTGTTGGTTATATTTTCATGTATTGGAAGCAGTTTGGGGTAGATGTTCCCAGGACTACTACCTGTTATAGGGATTATAATACCTCTTTGCAGAACTAATACTTGTGATATTATAATCACATAATAGGTGATGTCCACTCTAAGCTACACAGAAATTGTGTGTGCTTCCCCTGGGCACGCAGCTTCCCCATTGACTTTCATCCATACTATCTTCAGCACTTCTGTAAAGGGAAAAAACAAAACAAAACAAAAAAAACTTTCTGCAGCCTGTACTGTCACTCTCACATGAACAGACAGATTTAAACGGGCCATGACAAGATGCTTCAGAAATACTGCATCTACTCATAGTCTTCAGAGGAAAGAAACAATTTTTGGCTGACAATTCATTTAATTATAAACACAGGACAATAAATTTTGTAGCAAGGATGTCCTGAACCACAGTAAAATGTTTCAGGTAACAAGCAGAGAAACTTGCCCCTGCTTCCAGTTTTATTAACAGTGTGGGTGTTTATTTCCCACCCTTTTCTTTCCAGGTCAGTAAATTCTGATAGAAGACCATTTACACTTCCTACAATCTGTGCTATCCAGTGCTATAAACC